CTATTTTCTTCCATCCGACTGGTTGAACTACTCTTGTGGTTAGATAAACCACTGCTAAACCCTACGACTTGGTTCGGGAAAAGTCATGGGTAATTCTTTTGTTCTTTTTTATGTATCCATAGCGATTTCCCATGGGCAGTTTCACTGTGGGAATAGAGGTCACACACAAAACACAGACTTCCCGTGGGTAAGGTCTCACTTTCCCGTGGGCAAAAGGTCTAGTGTAACCACAGCTAATATTCGTGACGTCTTGTGGTCATTAAAGATCATGTGCCTGCGACGAACAAACAAATATGTAATTTGACTCCAACATTGCCTTCGGTTGAACGATTTCACCACGAGCTACTATCCGCCTGGCTCACTTGGCAATTTTTTCTATTGATATGCATCTTTAGCCGTCGTGAATGTTTTAGCATTTTATTATTGTTCAAATATTCAGTGGCGTCGAAACCGATAAGTGAAAATATGCAGGAAAAGCTCACCGAGTTTGACGACGAAGATGGAGCCTTCGGCATCAAATACAAATTGAGGCATTTCACAAAGTTCAAGATTTTGCTTGTGGTCACCTTAATTTTAGCGGTGTTATCGATTATATTTATAACTTTATTTGCCGTCGAAAGATCCAAGGTTAACGATTTAGCAAGCGAGAAAGAAAAGACTCCACGGCCAAGTGTACAGACGTACTGTGGCACGAGAGTATGCTTCGACGCAGCAAAGGGTAAGCCCAATTTTAATTTTTAAAAAGCATTTTATCTAAATCAGTTTTTCAAATTAGGTTTTGTTCTTGAGGTCGAGCATTATATGTTCACACAAATTCTTGGTGGTTTCATAGAAGAAGTGCCATGTTTGTGAATTTGAATTAACTAGCAATTATTGATTGAAGAACGATTGACAGTTGTCAAGCACATCCGATCACGCGCTGGAGATGTAAAGAGGACCTAAAACATGTGAAAATTCGGAGAATATATTTATCTTATAAGACATTTTGTTTTGTAGTATCGCTGAGTAATTTTACAAGTTGTGCTGTATTTTGACGAGCCCGTAGGGCGAGTCAAAAGACAAATAACGAGTAAAAATACTCAGCGATACTACACAACAAAACGTCTATTAAGTTATTTATTATCCATCACGCCAAACTGTTATTTGAGTGTGGGCGAATTTCGCGGATATTTATTTACGAGGAGTGCGTTACAGAAGTATGCGAAGCGGAACGGAATTGGCGCGTTGTGTTGTTGTTACTATCTTCTTCGTTAAATGAAGAAATAAACTGGTCGTCAAGCTGTTTTTCTTTGTTCGATTCATCTAATAAACTTGGATCTATATTTGCCAGCCATTCTGACTCTTCGTCGTCGGAAATATGATTCAAATTGTCCGCCACTTTTTTTTTTCGTAACTACAATCCAATTTTTCGCTTCCGCGATGCGAGAAAACCTATTTAACCGGTACTCTACAATAGACGAGTACAAATACCGCGTGATATTTGTACTCGTCTATGGCGTTATTTGAATTCGTCTAAGTGTAGTTGGATATTAATTACAATTACAGTTAACTTTCATAATAGTAAGGTCATTATTAAAGTTTTTCAATTCCCTTTCCCTAAGAAAAGTCTGGGCGTTCTCGGAATTTAAGTGGAAGATAGAAACGTCAAGAGGACTTGAAACACTTGATAACTCAAAACTTATTTGGGAATGCCATGGGTTTTTAATATTAACATACGTCCATTCGCTCAGTTAAAAAAGAAAAAAAAGAAGAGGAAAACAAAAGCGTTATTATTGTCTCATTTCGGTTTTTCTGGAAGGCTATCATTGTCTCACAAAAAGGCCACATGGTCACGACTTCCTTTGACAAAGTTAGGCTTTTCTCGGAAAAACAGAAATAGAAGGGTGGGGGAGAGGTTAGAGACTATGAGGGGGGAGGAGAGGGTAGGAATTGTCACTATCAAAGTGTTTGACTCCTCTTTTTTTACGAGAGAAGTCTTGATTTTCGTGGAAGACAGACGGGTTAAACAGAACTGAAAATGAAGGTGTAGTCTGATCACATGTTATGATTCACATGTTACCCCCGGGTTCAAGCCATTTACTGCAGAACTGAAAATATATATGATGAATCAAAACTTATTTGAGAATGCCATGGGTTTTAAAAATTAACTACAGTCCCTTTGCTCGATAGAAAATGAAGAGGGGAACGAGAAAAACGTTTATTACTAAGAGTCTCATTTCGGTCTTCTGGAAAATTATCCTAGATGGGAGAAATGGATAGGGGTGAAAGTGACTTTCTCTACGAATGCTTCATAAAAAATCGATTCCAAGGGGTAGTGGCACGGGACCTTGCTAAGCTCGCTTAAATAAGCAAAATAAATCAAACCATTTGAGCGTTGCGTTTATTTGCATTTCATGGTTAATTGGAAATACCGTAGATGCGTTCAATTTATGCTCCTTTGCTCAAACACTATTGAGTTGATAGCGACATATGTTCAATATGAAGAGATTATCGGAAAACTACGGCGAAGACGACATCAGCGTGAAGTATAAATTGAGGCATTTCTCGAAATTGAGAATCTTGCTCGTGGTCACTGCGATTTTAGCCGTTTTAACGATCGTATTTATCATACTGTTTGCCGTCGAAAAATCCAAGGTTCACGATGTGCCAAGTGAGCCAAAAGCAAAAACCTACTGCGGCACGAAAGCGTGTTTATACACAGCACTGGGTAAGCATTGTTAATGTTTTACGTCGTTGGTGACAAATTCAGTCCTGAGATGCAATGAATATATGAAGTTCATATATTTTGAACTGCGGTATTAGATACGTATGATGTGCAATCCTCGCAGTAGATAGCGCTATTTATGCAATAGCGAAAATCAGACCTGAAAAAAATCAGGCCTGTACGGGACTCGAACCACTGACCTTTGCGATACTAGTGCAGCGCTCTACGAATTGAGCTAACAAGCCAAATGGGAGCAGGCCGTTAAGTTGATNTTTTTTTTTTTTTTTTTAGGTCTGATTTTCGCTATTGCATAAATAGCGCTATCTACTGCGAGGATCGCACATCATACGTAAATTCAGTCCTGAAAGTATTGTTCTCAAAGTTAATCACCATGCTTTAAGCACCAATAATTTATGCTGTGTTTGCTGAAACGATACTGGATTGTTTGAACTCTCGTCCTGTACCTGCTGCTTTTAATTCAGTTCAGCGTAATGCTTTTTCTTAAGTATTCAGGCAAAAAGCATCAGGCCTGTTTCTCGCAGATTTCGGTAGGCGGGTCCGGAAAACTCTTTAGTTTTCATTCAAGATGGGGGTTTCGAAAGTTTTGAAAATTCTCCAAAAAAACTATCGGCTAAAGAAACAAAATGAACTGGTTGGGGTGCCAGAACCTACCCCTCCAATATCTAAATTTCAATTTAAAAATAAGGCGTCTGTAACTTTTGAGAAACAAGTTCTTGGATAAAGAAAACAGTGGCGAATATAATAGATCGCCTTTGCAACTGTGACTTTGTTTTAGAATAGTTTGATGTTATACAGAAACCTTTCCACTTATCATTGCGTCATAGCTGAAAATAAAGCCCCAAAGAGATTGAAGGATGGCTAAACGCATGTCCCCAAAATTAAGTTGAACGTTGTAGCAGGTGCCTCATTCTTAATTGACTTTTAAGATGTTTATGTGTTTTTGTTTTCCTATAAAGGAATTTTCTAGATTTTTAAGAATTCGATTTAAAATTCTTAGAAAACTTTGAATTGATTTTGGAAAATTTCTTTCAATTTTGGTAGCGTGGAGATAATTTGACGGATTTTGACAGGTTTTGACAGATTTTCAAAAAGATTGTCCGGGAAATGTGGGAATTGTTTCATTTTGGTATGAAATGACGAAGTGTGGTCCCTGGATGCAAAACCACTTTTGAAACAAAAAGTTGCATTTTAAGAAGTTATGTCTATAATTTATATAGTTCCGCGGGTGAAAAAGAAGCGATTTCGTAGCAAAACCCGCTAACCGCTTTTCCCTCGATCACTGTTTGGGTGCCACATTGGTGCTCTCCCGATCGAGCGATACCAGCCTAGCATATCTTTACAAAGTACTATGAGTTTGCTTGGAACGCTTTAGTTTCCGAATTATTCATCTCCCAAAAACTGCGTCTAGGACTTTGCAATCTGGTGAAGTTATCAGGCCACTACATTAGAGGTTTTGCACAGCAGCCATGTTGGATGGCAGGAACAATGAAAATATTTTGCATAAGAAAGAAATTTTTTTCCCATGGGTAAAATAATCTATTGTTCCTGCTATCCAATATGGCTGCTGTGCAAAACCTCTATACGCCGGATCCTTGACTTTAGAGATGAAATGTTTTCCATTTCATTTCTAGGCTGTCTTGTGCAAACCAGAAGCTTATTTAAAAGCCTCGACCACGGGATAAACTTTAAAGTATTTCATGGTATTGCACAGGGCTTTGATCTTAGTTCATTTGCTTAGAAAATGTAATCTAACTATCGGAGTGGGTCACCGCAAGTTTTCCTGTGGTCAAAATGTCCTGACGCTTTTCCTACAAAACATAATTTTCTCGGAAATTGATGAAGGAAAAGAAGACACATGGGAGTGGGGGTGGGGAAAAGGGGAAAGCGAAGAGGGTAGGGCAGAGGAAAGGGAAGAGAGAAAGTTAGAGAGGGAATTTGGGGGGACTATTTCAGAGGAGATTCAGTTACTTTTAAAAAAAACGAGTTTCTAGAAGCCTTAGCTCAAACCTAGCCTGCGCTCACCTTGACAGATATTTTTCATTTAACAGAGAAGTAACTCACTCTCTTTGTAAAATATCGAGTTCTGGCATGAAAGAGAAAATGTTTTCACGAAAATTAATTTGCCTTCCCTTAGTTGTCTTCCGTGAAATTTTCGCCCAATTTCTAACGAAAACACTGTTTTACTGAGTCGCTTAAGAAGCACATACTGGAAATTTGAAAATGATCGCGTGATTTAAGAATCTCTACTTCATGTACTATGATTTTTTTCTCGCAGACATGTTAAAGCAGCTCAACCAGACCGTGGACCCATGCTATGACTTTTACGAATACGCCTGTGGAGGTTGGGAAAGTGAGAATGCTTTGGAGCCCGGGGAGACCCACGTTACTGGATTCTCATTGGTAAAAGAGAAAAGTTACGAAGTCCTTTATGAAGCACTGGTGAATGCAGAGAAAAATTACTCAACCGTAAGAATAGCAGTCGTTGTGAATTATCTGTTTGTTTTGTGTTGTGTTACGCTTGTGGTTTGATAGATATTCATTCTCAAAATGTGATTTCTCCTCGCGATGTGGACTGGTGGCGAGAAGTGGCAAGGTTATCAGCTGAAGGGCGCCATCTTAATATAACCCAAAGTTCTTTTGTTTTATTTGCAATGAAATGTCTTTCTTTGAGGTCTCTCTCTCGGGAAGAGAAAGGAAGTTGCTAGAAGGAGGTACCTTCAAATAGCATTTAGACATGGATTTGTTAGTTTTAGTATCCTTAAAAATATGGCTAGTCGTTAAAAAAAAACTTCCAACCGTTTGTCATGGCCACCTGCAGAGCTCAGGTAGCTAAGTTAGAGACTGTCGTGCGGAAGGTCTTGGTTTGGATACCTGACCGGGTCGATGCGTTGTCTTCTTGGGCAAAACGCTTTACTCTCACGCTTCCTCTGTCCACCCAATAGTATCAGTGAGTGCCGGTGGATTGTCACGGAAGCCTGATGAAATGCGTAGGGTTAACCTTGCAATAATCAACATCCTATTCAAGAGGAAGTGGTGATACTCTTAGTCGCTTCATGCTAAGGAAACTGGGACATGAAACTGGGACATTTAGCTCGGTCTGGCTGGGTGGGCTACTGATCTCGAGAACAGACTTCACCTGCACCTTTAAATCCTTTTAGGTTCGACGGGGCAACATTCTACAAAGTTCTTTACATTTTTTTTTTTCAGAACGAAGCTGTTATGAAGACAGTCAAGTTTTACAACGTCTGTATTGACGAGGACGCGGTTGAGACCCGAGGAGATGATCCGCTCAAGAAGCTGATTGACAAGATGGGTGGATGGAATGTAACGGGTAGCATGACGCCTCTTTCGTCCATGAACATCATAGAGAGAATTGGAAAAGTGTCCAGGGAACTGTTTATAAAGCCATTTGTTGATGTGAAAGTGTCTGTCGATCCCCATGATTCAAATAAGCACATTGTACAGGTAAGCTCTCGGTCCTTTTATCGGAGAACCTTGTTAATCTTTCTATGCCACAACCCTGGTTTATTTAAACGGCCAACTTAAGCAGGCACAGGGTGAAGGTAGCCTTGTACCCAGACTTTCCACGGCCAAGCAGTCGTACTTTGCAGTTACAGTTACGCGGTAGGACCTGGGGAATTAGATTAGGGTGAAAGCAATTTGGTGAACTCCATATTTTTCAACGTTGTTCTCAAGGAAGAGCGCTCATAGGAAGCCTGTTGTTGAGGCAGAGATGGTTCAGCCCATACCATTCATTGTTTCTCCCTACTGCTAACTAATTGCTGTACTATGGACACTCATACCTAACTCGTAGTTACACTCAAATTTAACCTTAAACGTTTCTTACCCACTATTTGGCTGCACGATGGGTCCTCTTTATGATTGCAGACAAGGTTAAGTGTTGGTAATTATTCTTAATTTAGATCTGTCACCTCTGATTTCATTTGATTATTCATTTTTCAGTTTCAAATGGGAAAGCTCGGAATGCTTCCGTCATACTACAGAACGAATACCCGCGATTATCAAACCGTAAGTCGGGATTTTATTCATCAACAAACGGACAAGCTCCGTACGGAATTTAAAGGGTTCATTCACGAAGTTTTGTTTATTTTGCCTCGCTTTGAATTGTTGTTGTCGATTATTTTTTGTTCTTGTTCCATTTTGGTTGGTTTCTTTTCGTACAATTTAGGGGTTCACCGATCCTTTTCGTGAGAACATAGTCGGCTGACGGATAGCATTTTGAAATCCGGGTGGGAAGGTTATTGTTTCGTGTTCTTAAGCAAGACATTTACTCGCACAGTGCCTCTCTTCGCCAAGGATAAAAAATTGTTACCGGCAAAATGTCTGGGAAATCTCTCGTGGAATCCTGAGGGGGGAGGGGGGTGTTAACTTGCAATGGACTGCTATGCCATTTTGAATGGAAGAAGCAGCTGTACTCCTTGGCACTTCCCGGCACAGAAACCTGGATAAAGTGCGGCTAAATGGGCCAGTTAGTTCTAGAACAGACTCCTCCATTTATTAACAATTCTATCCAGGACTGCCTTAGCCAATGAGATGGCTATGATCATCCGCTTGTTACACCGTTTGCACATATAACATAACTCTGTTGTTTTAAATAGATTAGGGAAGCTTATAAGACGTACATGAAGACAATCGCCAAATATCTGGGAGGAGGTGCAGACTCTGATGACCAGATGATGAAAGTTTTTGACTTGGAGACGAAGATAGCCAATGTAAGCAGTATCTTTAGACATCTGGCTTAGGTTTCTTATCTTTTTTTTTTCTAATCGCACCTTATTGACAACTCACGTTATTAATTATCTATCACATGATAAATACCATAGCCAATTAGATTGGAATTATACGCAATATGATTATCTCTTACTTTGCGAAAACGGAAGTTTTTTTCATCGCTGTCCTTCGAGCTCGAGTTATGATTCCATGGGCTATTTGTCTTTTGAAGTCTGCATCTTCGGGAAATATATCTGTTTCCTGAGACAAGCGTGTTATTTAGAACAAAATAGACCATTTCCGAATCTTCAAAATGATGCCAAGGGTATCACCTTTCTCGTTACTATATGCAGAGGAAAGAAAATCATTTTAATGCCAAAGGTTTTAATGCGCTTCGTTTTATGGTCGACGCTTTGGGCATTTCGAAAATTGGTCCATTTTGCCAATTATATAACAAAAGGCATATAACAAAACCAAATACTTAATCAGCACGTTTTCAGTTTCGACTGGATAAATTGGTGGCCAGTAAAGAAGAAATTAAACTGCGAAACCTTTGACGAGGTCTTACCGCCTTCGAGATCTGGCCTTAATGTATACCTCAAGACGCCGTCCTCCAATGGAGTAGTTAATGAAATGAAATAATAAAGATGCTGTGGATGTAAATACTTCTTGAGGTCAGCGGCGCAGTCTCGGTCAACAACGTCAAAATATTTAGTCGAGTCATTTTTGTCCGGCCTCACAGCTTCACCTCTATTTTGGGGTATGCTACGAAATGTAGTTTAGATGATTTAGATGGGGTGGGAAAAACAAAGAGTTTGGCTTATACATTTGTTCAACTTTCGAGCTCAGTCGTTGAGCCTTAAAAGCGTGATATCCTTTGCATTTACAGCTGGGTCAAGATGGCGAAGACGGCTCCATCATAGAAAAGTTAAAGAAAGACTTGCCACCAGGAGCGATTGTCGGGGACTACAGGTTAACAATGGAACAGATCAGCGAAACAACAGAGATAGACGTGAGTGCAATACTTGTTTGCCGCTTGCCTACTCTTTTTAGTCTTTATTCTTGTTTTCAGTGAAGTTCTGAGAGGAATACTGTTAGAGTAAATCACTCTGAAATTCTTCGTAAATCTCAGACATAGATGTGAATTGAGGCTGATGTTGATTGGTCTTCTTAAACTTAAGTCTTTGGATGAGCCCGTGGTCCACACTGCCGAAGTTTTACCTTTTTTAAAAACACAGCGGTCAAGCATCTGCGCATGTACAAACGTTTAAATGACTAGGTCTGGCTGGATAGCATACTCTTAGGCTATCAGAACCAAGTCTTTGAAACAACCACACAAGCTGTTAAGACGCGTTGATGCGAAATATAACTTACTTTGCCTTTACTACTCAACCGGACACACAAAGAGTTGACATTTGGGCGAGTTGGCCAGCCAAGCCACCGTTTATTTCACGCCGAATCGATATGCTAACAGAGATCTTTTACAATTGAAGTAAACTAAAAGCACCAAAGCCGGACTCTAAAACTCCTAAAATCCAGCAGGCGGAAAAAAACGGGGAACGTGTACCTCCGACCAAGGCAGAGGTGCCACCCTTGGGGTTTTAGGGTATTCTATGAATGACATGCGTTTTTACATAGTTACTTAACGTACTATGCAGTAAATGGTTTGAACCCGGGGGTAACATATGTGAAGGTGTAGTCTGATCGTCCGGGTGAGTGTAGTCCTGAGAAGGACTGTTGTCGGTGGTAGTGACTGACGTTTCGACAACCTGTGCGGAACTTATCATCAGAGTCATGCAAGTACCGCTCTAAATTTATACAAAAGACGAAAACGAAAACAAAGAGCTACACACGGTGAAGGCTGACCGTAGAATGCCTTGCCTTACTAATGACCTCTGCTTACAAACCACGATCCCATAACTCCCCGCGTACCTCGCAGCCACCCCCAGTCCTCTTCTTCGGCAAAATATTAATTTATGCTAAGTAGGATTACCACAAATTACATTTTCTCAATAAAGCTGAATACAAAATTGTAAAAATAATGTGGCCATTATTATTGTCATAATTGTTAGTAGGACTATCATAAGATTATGAAGTTTTTGTTTATTTTATTTTATTTTATTTTTTTTAAATTTTGCAGCTTAGAGAAATTGTTGCTCTGCTAAACGCTGTTTTTAAGAGGCAAAACCGTAAATTCCAGAAAGACGAGAAAGTGATTGCATACCCCCCAAAGTATTACGCGGAGCTCTTTTCGCTGTACCAGAACGTCTCCAAATCGTAAGTACTGAGTTGAACGAATAGGTATCATTTATTTCATTAATTTAAATTGCCCTGCTTGAAATGCCGCCAAAGGAAGAAGAACGCAAGGGGTCAGAAAAATGGACCAGGATTCGGCCATTTTTATACTGTGAAACAGTCTACGTCACCGGCAAGATATGGTTGCTACAAAGGAAAGATTATACAGATAAAATTATTTTCATAGCCATTATCAGTGCCATTGCCGTAGCCATTTCCTTTGCCTTTTTTATCACCATCACAAATGTCAATGCCTATGAGGCGCCAAAGTGGACAAAAATGTCGTTTAGCAGTTTTTCTTTCCAATTATATAAATATGTTCTAAACTGTAGATTTTTGTCATCAGTTAACGTATTATGTGCTAACTTAGTGAAATATTTATTCTCTTTTTCGCATTTATTTTCTAAACTCTTCAGTTGCATTCTAATTGCAAAGAAAATGCGTTACAAGTACAGAAAAAACTATTCTAATTGAAATGTGTTTTAGATGTTCTAATGTTCTTGTTACATTCAATTAAAAAAAAAAGTATTCTATATAATGTTCTTTTCGTGCCAAGTTTGAAAAAAACTCTGCTCATAAGAATGAAAAATTATCCTATTCTCAGTCCAAAAATACAGGGCAATTGCAAAAAAAAAAAAATACATGGAAATTGCAAAAACTACATGGCAATTGCAAAAAATACATGCCAATTGCAAAAAATACATGACAGTTGCAAAAAAAACGTTCTAATTAGTATGCAAATTATATTCAGTTGAATTTTTCGTGCTAATTAAAACACGCTTCTAATTAAAACGAAAATTGTGCTACACAAAGCAATGTTGGGTAAGGGTTTCGCGGACCCCGTTTTGGCGCTAATTTTATAGCTTTGAATTTGAAGACTATCTAGAAAAGCTACGATATGCCTTAATACCGTCGAGGAAGAGGCAACATAGAGATAACTAGAGAGATTCTTAGAAAATACTCAAACAGTTCTCGGTCAAATTGCTAGCTTCAGTCAACAATGGGAGACTCAGAATAACAAACCTGAACGAGTTAGAAAACGCTGTTGATCGAATGACCGAGATCTGTACAACGTTTGGCGTTCTTCATCAGAGTGTACCGACCCACAGTGCTGCAAATAATTCAGTCGTTGACCTGACGAGTATTTTTGACGATATACGAACACATCATCTTCGTACGAGACTCAAAGGTTTAAATAAAGAGAGTGCCTGTTCTTCTGAATACCAATGCCCAGTGAGCAGCAGCGGCGAAAAAGGTCGTCCTCTTTTTGAAATTATGAAGGATCAACTGGAATTATTGCGAAGTAAACACTTTCGCTCGGCTAGAATTGCTAAATTACTGAGAATTTCTGAGAGAACTCTTAGAAGACGAAGAGAGGAATCTGGAATCTGTTACGAGTTCGATGTTTGAGTGGCAGGTGATTTGTAGTCATAACAGAACGCAGGGTTATCGGAACGGCATATGGTATTTCGTGGACTGGACTCGACTCGACTAGTAAAACGAGGACTAGTAGAGCGCGGACTAGTAAAACGAGGACTAGTAAAACGCGGACTAGTAAAACGCGGACTAGTAAAGCGCGGACTAGTAAAGCGCGGACTAGTAAAGCGCGGACTAGTAAAGCGCGGACTAGTAAAGCGCGGACTAGTAAAGCGCGGACTAGTAAAGCGCGGACTAGTAAAGCGCGGACTAGTAAAACGCGGACTAGTAAAACGCGGACTAGTAAAACGCGGACTAGTAAAACGCGAACTAGTAAAATACTGACTAGTAAAACGCGGACTAGTAAACGTAGACTAGTAAAACGCTGACTAGAAAAACGCGGACAAGTAAAACGCTGACTACT